TTAACCCTTTCGCGACGCAAAGCGCGAAAGCGCGCTTACCGCTGAGGCCGGCAGTCTCTCTAGCGTGTGTCTCCCCAGGGCCGGAGGGTTTTTCGATGTTAAGCCTAATTCCATGAAATTACCGAAATATCAGCGCGTTGTTTAATATTGTTCTGTAGAGTATTTAAGTGACATATGCTTTATATATATTTCTATGGATACTTTATTTACTTAAGTTATTTCTTGTTTAAATGTAATATAAATATTAATAAGTTTAAATATTTTGCATAATTTCCTCTATTTCCAGCTCAGTTAAAAATTTTCGACGCTTCGACATTCTAACGGTAAAAAGAAAAAAAATTCAAGCCTACAAGATCTAATTATCCACTAAAAACTAATCCGAAAATCGAAAGTAGCGAGAGATAAAAAAAACTCCCTTACTTACTGTAAATAAATATCACGTGCTAATTTAAAGAGCCCTCATAAAACATTCCCCCCCTCCACTCCTTCCCCTAAAAACCACGTGACTGTACTTTCATCTTGAGTAGAAGGTCAAATCTACATGTATCTGAAACCATATGGACATACAATGCCATCTTTTGGAAGAAATTTCATTTTTTAAAACGTTCCGAAACGCTGGCACAAATAAGTGACGGTCGGGGGTGAACGAGAAAACTCTCTGACACGCGGGTGTGTCGGTCGGGAAGTGAGCGCGTTTCTTGCTGGCACATATATGTGACAGTCAGCTCGAAAGGGTTAAGGGGCGGAGGCAACTCGAAGTGGTTTCAATACTTTTGTTTTCTTTCACAGGAATTGCATAATTTTCTCCTTTCAGATTTTTTTTAAATCTTAAAATAAGTTTTTGTCAACAATTAATCAAATTTTACATATAGATTTAAAAAAAAACTTCAGCTGATTTTTAAAAGGCAGCTGTAGTTTAAATATTGTTTTGCCAAAAAAAGCAAAATAAAAGATTATTACTTCTTTTTATTGAAAACTTTAGCAGTTTTTATATTTATTCTTAAGAGATATAAGGGAAATTAAGATTATTTTGATCATGAATGAAGCGTTTTTAAAATGAAGTCATCTATATAATCGACAATTGTTATTAGACTTGAATTAATTTTTTTTTCTTGAAGGATGATGCTTTTCAAAATGTTAATGCAAGTTTAAATTTTTTTTAATTGTTATTTTTGTTTCGAATGAAATTAATCATTAAAACTTTTATTTTTCTTTTATTTAATTAATTTTATTATTTTTATTCTTTAATGATTTATGGTTTATTTAAAAAATGGTTATTATTTTTGCTAATTTGTAGAATTTATTTCTCCTTAATTTCAGATAATTTTTTATTTACTTTTACAAACTTTTTTCATTTTCGCGATTTATATTATCTCTACATAAGTTAAATTAAAAGATTATTTTGATAATTTTAGTTAAATGTATTTAATGGGAGTAGATTAAGAGAGTTATCTTTAAATATTTTAGATTTTGCCTTGTTATAACGATTTTGCAGAAATCTCCCCTTTCTCGGATCTTTTATAATGGGAAATAAGTAATTGTGTTGTTATCTTCTCTTAGCTCAAATCATGTGGGCATCCCTTCCCGCTTTAATCGCGAACGAGAATGTAAGATAAATTTTGATACTAAAAGAAAACAAAAATTTATTAAATCTAAATTATTAAAACTTCATGTAAAAGAACGTACAAATCTATACAAAACCTTCAGGGTACTGAGGGTGTTACTTTAGGCAATTGCCTTCCCCTCAATAGAAAAGGTTTTGTTTTATGGCTACCGGGGCCAGTACCCCCTGCAGACGTCAGCTTCGGTGGTCATATTTTAATTTTTATTTCCTTCGTTTCCTTTGTTGCTGCAGATAAATTTTGAGATTGGCTTGTGGTGAAAACGTTTCGGCAAATACTCCGCATCGGTCGATAGCCCGCACCTTGTAAAGAAACCTTTTTTTGACAGGTAATCCGCGGATTATAAACCAGAAAATACGGTAGTAGAATAACCAAAATTCATACTAGCATTTTTTAAAATAGTATCACAATGCATTTTGTGATATAAAAACTGCATTATCATTGCTATGTTAGATAAAATCGTGAATAACAATCTCTGTGTTGGATTTTAAAATGGCGTGAATAAGAATCTCAGTCTTGGATTTCAAAATCGTGTAAGTAAGAATCGCGATGTTGGATTTTAAAATCGCGTGAACAAGAATCGCGATGTTGGATTTTAAAATCGTGTGAACAAGAATCGCGATGTTGGATTTTAAAATCGCGTGAACAAGAATCGCAATGTTGGATTTTAAAAGCACGAAAATACAAATTATGATATTGAATTTCTAAATCGCGTAGATATAAATCAGGATGCATAGTTTTTAGATCTCATGAATACTTATTGCAACGAGTAATTTTTAAATCGCGTATGAATGCGAAAATCGATGTTTGATATTACAATCGCGTGATAACGAATCACAATATTTAATTTTAAAAATATGCTAATACGAATCTCGACATTGCATTTTAAACTCCCGGAAATACGAAACGTGATAATGGATTTTAAAAACGCTTAAATACAAATCGCGATATTGGATTTTTAAATAGCGTGAATGGGAATTGCGAGTACGATTTTTAAATCGCGTAAAACCGAATCGCAACATGTAACTTTTAAATCAGTTAAAAACGAAAATCGATTATTTACATAAAAGTTGTCTGAATAAGAATCGCAATTTTAGCAGATTCCGGTGCAGTTTCTAATATTTAAAATTATGAAAATCAGCCAAACAAAAGAAATCAAATTTCAGCTGCCGAAACGAAACTGCTTCGAACTCTTTTCTCCAATCTATAGCGGAAGTAGCGGTTGTCAAGGCAATGCCGTACCTACCGAAATTCCACCCATTTTCTTCTGAAGATCCTTTTCTCAGGAGGCTACAGCAGGGGGGGGGGTAATTCATCTCAAGTCCGGCTATCGTTCGGGCTGCTTGGGTTTCTCTTATTGGACTCCCCAAAAATTTAAGTTTTTGGAACATGGTCGGAAATTTCAAAAATTGAGAGAAAAAAGCAGATTTCCGCTTTTTTGCAGAAGTCTTTCAACCCTGTATTTTACAAGTAACAAGATAATCAAACTGGCATTATTTTGGTATAGAGTGACATAGTTCTTGAAAGCATTGTATTGTACACCTCTTAAAATTTGATGTTTTACATTCTAAAAGTTTTATAACAAGAACTATTTATGAGGATACATCAAATTAAAACAAATTTACATTTTTATTTCATTTAAATAATGTTTGCCAAATGGCTTTTTTGTCTTTTCATTGTACAGCACACAAAATAAAAATAAAAAAACCCGATATAACTTTTGATCTAATGATCGTATCTTTACGCTCTAGGACTCAGTCTTAAGGGTTCAAGGGTATAAACTCAAATATACTAACTAATTAGTACAGATGATATTTTAAGTTATGAAATCAGACACAAAAATGTACTTTCATGTATATGCTCATTAGTAAATGTGAACAAATTAACAAAAGACTACAAATTATCTCGAAAAGTTCAATGCGAAGAATAGAAGTTTTTTTATTCTTTTATCAAAAATATTTTTGAAGTTAAGATTTATAAAAAGTGATTGAATGTGTGAGTCTGAAACAGCAATTAGTCTAATCATGATTTTTATATATATACATAAGCGTATTAATAATCAAATTGAGCTGAATCACGTCTTAGTTAATAATAAGATGAAAGGAAGTGTTACAAATGTTGATCACGGTCATCACAGAAACATATTTCTTTATTATTGAATTTAGTTATTGCATTCTGAATTGAAAAGTTAGATTGGAAATACTAATGTTATTTTTTTATATGTATAACCTTCTCATAATTTATTCAATATTAGAATTTTTTCACTGTGATTTTACTTGAATAATTTCACAAAAATAACCAACCTTGGCCTTTCTTTGGCCTTTGGTGAAACTTGGTCTTTCCGCTCTTGAATCTTCATATAAACTTGATATGTCGATTGTAGGACTAAAGTCGAACTCATAATAGTGGCCTCTTCCAATAGATGGCTGCAGAAAATAAAGATATAGAATATTTAAAAGCGTATTAAAAAATGTATACACAGAAAACAATTAAAAAGAAAATGTATGAGTAAATAGTATATTATTTACTTAATAGTAAAGTATATCAGTTTTTTATAAATAGTGTAATGAAATGTATATTATATAATCTATTTTACATAATATAATCTCTTATGCTTAGATTTTTGTGAAAGATCCTGAATTTATGAAAAATTTACTCTCAATTTTCTGAATAATGTCAGATTCTTCTGCAAAGATTCTGTTTTTGTGAAGAAGAAAAAAACAACATGTCTTTCAAGGAGTTGGAGGATTAAAATTAAAAATTGATGTCAGACTCTGGATTTCAGAAAGGTTTATGCATATGTCTTACTACTAATCATGTGCATTTAGAATTTTTCTCTTAGTTTCATAAAAGGATCGGGGACTAAGGTTCAGTATTCTTTTGGCCTAGGTATTCTCAGTAATGGTGAATTTACTCAGAATACCAAAATAAGAATTGCAAAACAACAAATTTGATCCATATGCACTACGGAAAAGTCTCACATAGGGTGCAGAGATCTTGTCCCTGCACAGATGAATAGTCAGTGTACCTATCGAACAAACGAATGTTGGTACGCGAGTCAGCCATAATGCCTGCTCAGACCACCAGACCACCTCAACCATAGTAGTCCTTTCAAACAATGATAGGACAATGCAGATATCACCTCCAAGATTATATGCAGATTAGAAATTGTTTCGAGTCTCCGGACTGAATTGTGACTCATCACTGAAGAGAACTTGCCACCATGATAGACAATCTTTCGGGTGGTTCACAGTCAAAAGGATGCAGACTATAAAGGGTCTGGCATACAGACCACCTGCATTAAGTCTGAGGGCCATTGTTATCCATGAAATGGATGCTTTTATTGCATTATACAGCTTGAAAAGCAGTTGTGCCACCATCACAGTCCTATCCCTTCTAGCTAGAAGTCTCAAATAACGTTTTTAAGTTGTTGTTATTGCCCTTTTGCAGCCTTGACCAAGTTGGCAGGCCACTGTTGTCTCTGTGAACTGTTTCTTAAACTTCTAAAAACTCCAATTTCCCTAGTAGCTTGTGATTAGCCCACCTTGAGTCTTCCAACTAACATCTAGTTGACTGCCTATAGGGTAACAAAAAATGGGTAAACAAAAAAAAAATTTAAAAAAACAATGATTGGGCTAAGTTATAAAGATTCAAAATGTCCTTTCACTACAATCCTCTGTGAGCAAATGAGATACCTCTACACAAAAGTGATAACAGCATCACTGTCTTACAATGTTACAGATCACTTCCTTAGCAAAGGTGTCTGTATTTGCTTAAAGCTACCCCTTCCCTTTTATTGTTTTCATCAGTGTATGAATAAGAGAGATTTGGATACAATATTAATATAAAATAAATCTGTATTTTTAAAAACTCTTCTTTTTAGAAAATATATCTATGAACCAATTTTGTATAATGATAGGTAAGTTTTTCATGTCCTGTTATTATCTGGAACATAGTCCGAAAAATTCTTTTTTTGTGATTTCTGATTGATTGAACTGATATCAATTTTTTATTTGGTATCTCAACAAATTCAGTAGTGCAACAGCCCATGGAAGGTCAACACCTACTGTTTCCCTCTCATTTTTCGGGTTCATGAGAAGATGCTTCCGTTAGGTGGTCAACTGAACATGGAACCCCCAGTGTTTAGTCTCAAAACACACTTGATACTCATTTTATCAACCCGCTGGAAAGATGGAAGGGTGAGTCAACTTTGATTGGTTCAAAGATAAAACTTACAACCTGTGGCAACAGCATAAAAGGAATTGTATTTTGAGTAAAGATTTAATCTGGAAATCAACCTTGGGTGATGTGGTTATTCTTACATGGTATGACTACACTTGTTATGTATGGCATTTATCTTTCTTTTTGGCCAACAATTAATTTGGTCTACCAACCATCATATGGAAAAAATATCTTTTTATTCATATGTGATCTTGTGATTACTATTTTTATGAGGAAAAAAAGAATTCTAGTCAGATTAATATTTTGTTGCAAGAAAAAAATACCAATTTACATAATAGCATGGGTTCTACTCAAAAAGAAAATTTCAAGACTGAACTTATTTTTTGACCAATTAACTTGATCTGCTATTAACTCTTCATCATTAAGGTTTTGTCTGAGGTAATTTTTTAAAAATAATTAAATTTTGTATCTTAGTATTAAACACAAGTATTAAATTCTTAGCATTAAATTACAATGCACATATACACAAGTATTAAATTAATTTGTATTAAATTCTTAGCATCTCAAGATATCGAGAATAATTACAAACTCAAGCAGATTCAGATTTAACAAGGCAAATTTTGTTTACACACAAGTTCAGTCAAACCCATTTGTTGATTGTAGTGAGTCATGAGTCCATGAGCTGATCATTTTGTCTTTTTTGTATGAATTAGTAAAAACAACAATGTTATGAAAAAAATTTAATCCATTTTATTTATTTACACAGGAAAAAAATTTTACATTTTCATAAGAAAATTTTTTTTTATTTTTAAAATTTAATTTAAAAAACAAATTGGAAATACATATTAATTGGAGGATGAAATTCAATCAACTGGAACTTTTTTCAAGACTGATTTCAGTCCTCAGGACTGAAGAATGGCATCCATAAAAATAGACATCATTGTGTGGCTTCTCAGTAAACAAATTTTTGCCCAGTTAACAATTACTATTTGAATAAATTAAATTTTTCTCAGGCATAAACAATAAGTTTAATTATTTCTAGTACTTTTGTTGTCTGGTACAGTCGAGAAGAAAATTTAGCATATACATTTCTTCTTTAACTCAAACCACTGACGGTTCTGCAAGTAAAAAGTCGTAATTTAACCTGCAGTCTTCTCCGCATAGCAAAACCGGTTTCCCCATCTTATTAGATAGGGAAATAGTGTATAGGGGAGAAACACTCTCCCAATTTTGCCCATTAGCTAAGCCGCCAGTGATGCCTTTTTAAAAATTTCATTAATTTTTAAAAAAAACTTTTTTTTAAATTTTATCAATGCTAAAAGTGATGCATCAAGAAGAACTAATGTTTTTGTTAATTAAAAAAAACCAAGCTGAGTGGCCCTAAAACAAAATATAATGTCCCGATAGATTAATGTTGTCATTTCCAGTAACATATATATTTCATACAACACAACAAATAATACTTAATACATCAAAAGGACATTAACTATAACTTATGACTTAAGAACAAGTTCACAAGAAATTGCCAGGGTGGGAGCTGTTTGTAACCTATTAAATTATTAGTGTACATAATGATTTTAAGAAGTTATTTTTGTCCTTTAATAATTATGTTATTAAATACTATAGTATTTAAAGTTGCATTTATTTCATTATTATTTTAAACTTGTAATAATTACATTCATGTTAGGGTTGGTTGAGGAACTGTTTCTCATATTTTCATTGAGACAGAAAATATGGCTCATGATCACTTAAAGCAGTAAGAAAAAAAATTACAACTGTGCTCAGTTCCAATTTGTGAGTAATATTAAAGTTGCAATTTTAAAAGCAGAATAACAGAACTTTAAATCTAAATACCGCATAGTTAAAATGAAATTAGACTGAAAGACATTCTTTGAAAGCACAAATAAAGATAAACTATTTTTTCCAACTGGAAAAAAGTTTTACCTGATTTGCTACTCCTCAAAAAATTTTCCTAATATCCAATTTGCAATATCCATGCTTTTCCTAATATCCATGCTTTTTAGCGCACATTTAGCATATCATAAGCCAATTATTATTGACTTGGGTAGTTCAAACTGCTCTTTGATAGCATATTATTAGTTTAGGAAAAACCACATTCTGCATCAGAAATGTGAAAAGAGTAAAGTACTTAATAGGCATAGTTATTATCAACAAAACTGAAGAATTTTTCCTTCATAAAAACCAAGAGGTCTTCTATAGATTTCAATTATCCAAATGAAGTTAAGAATATATACAGAGAACAGTAATTTAAATCAATAAACTTCAAAATTGCATAAGAAAATTCCTTACCTTAATTCCTTAGTTAAGTAGAGTTAGACTTTCTGGATCCAAAAAAAAATAATAGCAACCAAAAAAATTTTATATAATTTCTACGTACCCTTCTCTTACCAGTACCAATGTAATTAAGACTGAAAATCACTGAAATACTTTTCCCTTATAACTGAACATATAATTTTTAAAAAAAAACTCACAGCACAACATTTCCACAATTTGTAGATAATCTATTATCGAAAGTATCTTACATTGTTTACCAAAATATGATTGGTAAGCAGTTTGTTACAACACTTTTTAACAAAACATTAATCCAGATAGACAATTGGAAGAAATTTCTTTACCCAAGATAAAAATAACTTAAGATCATTATTTTTATTAATTATAGTTTTCTACATACCTTGCCTTCCTATTGCTTATATCAGCAAGGCTGAAAGTCATTAATACCCAATTTTTTTTAAATACATGAAAGCCAAAACTTACACCACAACCGTATTGTTTCGACAATCAAGAGGTAAATCTAAATATTTACCCTAATTGAAAGATCTTCCCCTTTTTCAACATACTCATGCTTGATGAATGGAAGAGTTCCATTACAGAAAGCGCATTATAGATATATGTTATCTACCAAAATATGTTTGGTAAGTAATTTGTTTCTGTAGTTTTTACAATAACACAGAACCATGAAATGAATCTATAATAAAATAATTTAAGTTATTAATTTCAGTAAATGAATGATGAATGAGAAATGATGAGAGTAGATATTTCAAAGAGACTTTTATAGTCAAGTTCTAAAAGAGTAAAACTATAAAGGTTCAATTCACAATTTAGATATAGTTCTTATCAGATTTTTCTTCATGACAGAAAAAAAAATTTCAATTAATCAGAGACAGAACACTAATGCAATGTAATGTAATGAACTCAGTTTGATTGAATTTCATTTTGATTGAAA